ACAGCGTGCAGAAAATGCCATTAGCAGATTATCCAGCTGAGGAATCTTTGCAGCAACAAGAAGGTGAAATGCATCTGGCCTTGAGAGAAGGAGCTGCCAGCTCCATTCCCAGCCCCGTCACACACAGGAATAGCAGAGGAAAATCCCGTGTCCCTACAGATGTCTGCAGCAGCCCAGGCTGTTCTGCTCTGGGCACTCACAGGGATCCCATGGGTGCAGGGACCAGTCCCACATCCCCAATTCCCAGGAGGGAGAGGGACAAAGTGTGGGTGCTGTGGGTACTGCTGGAGGGGTGAGATAAGGGGAGACAGTCCTCCTCTGAGGAGAACCCCCAAGTGATTTGTCTTGTGCCTGTATCGCCATAAAGGCTGTAAATTACTGACATTTCTAATCTGGAGCGTCCTCCCCCTGTGAAGAGGAGATAACAGCCTGAGGAGGTGGCTGTTGCTGCTCTGATGGACTTCAGCACCTTTATCTGCCCCTGGAGATCTTTTGGGGCCAATCCAAAGATAGCAGGAGGGTTTCTCAGGGTGGAGAGCCAAGGGGACAGGATGGGCAGTGCCCTGGCCCTGCCCTGGCTCTAGAGACAGTCCTGGGCAGCATCGGGGTGTCCTGGTGTCACCGTGGCAGCTGAGCAGCACCAGAGATCCTGTCCTTTCTCCAGCCCCCAGGGATGCACTGCTCCATCCCTCTGAACCTGCCTGGGTGTGTGGGCACTTCCATGGAGCCCCAGAAGCCTCGGCATGCATCGAGAATCAGGATGGGAAGAGCTGGAGATCCCCTGGGACAGCTCATTAAACATCCCAGCCCCCTGAGCAAGCCGGGCTGGAACAGAATGACATTCATACAGCAGCTCAGCCTCAGTGCCACAGGGGCAATGTCAAACAAACATCATTAATTTCCCTCTGCAAATCAATTGGGGGCAGAAGTCAAGCTCTCCCAGCACAGGAGATACAGTGCAGTAGATAATCATCCCACACGATGAGCATGAGCCCCCCAGCTCTCCTGAGAGCACCTCCCAGCAGATTAGAGCCTCCCCGTGGGGTGGTAGGATCTCCTGGATGGACCCTCAGTGAGAAAGTGCCTGCCTGGGGAGCTGAGCCTGGCGGGACTCTGGGACAGCAGATTTTGGGATGGATGGCTCAGCCCTTTACCTGGCAGCTCTGGCAGTGTGGGGAAGGCTTTGTCTTTGTGCCAGGAGCGCCTGTGAGGATGCAGAGCCCTATCTCCCCTCTCCCTCTGCCTGGAGAGGAGCTGGGTGCCTGTCCTGGGCAGACACCGGTGTGGGGACATGCTGCAGTGCTGGCCTGGCTGCAGGCACTGCTGGGGAAGTGCCTGCCTTGCCTGCTGTCTGCAGACAATAAAATATCATGTGATGTCTTAATGAGCCCCTCAGCATGTGACAATTGCAGGGAGCAGAGCTCCTGCCCGGCTGGAGGGGCTGGTCCCAACGCTGGGGTCTCAGTGTGAGGAGCTGCCCTGTCCCAGGCAGAGGCTGCCAGAACTCTCAGCCCTGTGATGGAGCAGCTTTTATCAGCTGTGATTAAAAATGAGATACCACAAGAATGTCAAGGAAGTGGCAAAAACAGCTGGGCTGAGTGCTTTGAAGGCAAGGCTGGGTGGCATTGGTGCTCTGCTCTCCCTGGATGAGCTTGCTCCTTCCAGGTCTCTAAAATTGCAGCTGTGGTGCTCCAACACTGCTGGTCCTGGATCAGGTCCTCACCTCCATGAAGAAGATGATTTTGGGCAGTTTGGCAGGACAGGGTCTCCTAAAAAATGTGTTTCTCAGAGGAGCAGCCAAGTAGTGGTGGGTGGGGGAGGTTATGGTGTTGAGATGACACCAAGAAAAGAAAAAGCCAGTTTGGGTCTGAAAATATGGGCTGGACAGTGAGAAGGGCTGGAGTTCTCCCAGAGTGGCATCAGCAATCCCCATCCCTGCATGCCACCGCCGAGCTGCCAGCCTTGGGGCAGCGTGCCAGGCTGCTCTCTGTGACTCACATGTTCCAGATGATGGGAAGCGCTTTGCCAAGGCCAGCCAGCACACCTGGAATCCCTGCGGGGCGCAGAGCAAGCCCTGCAGCCTGGCTGCGAGGGGACAGCGGGGAAAGACAGCACCACGTCCTGTCCTGGGGGCACGGGCACAGCCTGCCCTTGGTGCTGGCTCCCATGTGGGCACACACAGGCGTGTCCTGCCCCAGCGCCAGGCTGTGTCCCTGTCACCAGCGGGGCTGGGGCACGTCCCACACGCCTGTGCTCTGCTGGCCGGGCTGGGAGCCGCCAGCTGCCTGCCAGGAGCCCCCACCCTGATGGGCTCCAGCCTTTTCAGGCAGAGATGGAGCTGACAAAGTCTTTGTCAGTCAGATCTGTCAGGGAAAGCTCTTTGTTCTTCAGCATTTGCTCCTGCCTCCCCCCTCTCCAAACCTAAACTAGATGCATCTGCTTTTGTTTTCTAAATGCAGAATTAGGGGCTGAAAGGAGCCCCTTTGTAGTGGGGAGGAGGGGAGAGCTGCGGATCTTTCACGGGGAAGGCAAGGTCAGGGGGGAGCCGCTCTATTGTGCGGGGCCTCTGCTCCGCCGGCTCAGCCCTTGCTGTGCCCCCTCTTCACAGCCCAGTTTAACACTGGAACCACTCCGGGGACGTGGGGAAGGCAGCCCGGCGGGACGGGCTGCTCTCCCAGCTGCGGGGATGGCTCAGCGCTGCCTGCGGTGGATTCTGCTGCTTCCGATGCCGCAGCTGGGAGCCGGCATGTGGAGGCAGCAGATGAGGAGGAGGAGGAGGAGGATGAAGGCCACGCCGTGGAGTGGAGGCGGGCAGTCTGGCAGCACTGAGGGTGCACACGGGCACACGTGTGCACACGTGTGTGTGACGGTGCAGGGACACAGGGACACAGCTGCAGGGACACATGTGGGAGGGCAGAGGTGGGTGCATGCCAGCAGGTACAGCCCCTCCTTGTGCCGTGGGAGGAAGGGGGGGGTCTGCAGGGGGCTGTGCAAGCCGTGGGCTCTGGGAGCCATGTGCCAGGGAAGCTGCTCCCCAAATGCCTTTGTTCCTCCTCGGCCAACACAAAGCTCTCCAAGCTCCGGCCTTGCAAGGCTCAGAACTGCATCTCCAATGCAAATGTGTCTGTGGAGGAGCCCTGCACTTCACACGCTTCCTGCCCTGGTCCAGGAGAAGGGCAGGGGGCCCAGCAGGGGCTGCTGATGCCAAGGAACAGCCCCAGCCCCTGCATGTCCCTGAAAGGGACAGCAGTGAGCTCTGGCTTGCTCTGTGCTCTCTGCTGCTCCTCAGTCCCAGCCATGCCCCTTGCAGACCCCCACCTGTTCCAGGAGGAGCCTCATTCCTCTCCCTGTCCATCCTGAAGGACTTCCTCGTGCACAGCTTATGCCACCAGATGGTGACAGCTCATGGTCTCTCTGTGCTGAGCTCTAACATGATGCTGAGGCCAAGGATGCAGCCAGATCCTTCAGCCTCCAGGCAGCAGGGGATGGTTTTCCCCATTTTCTGCCATTTCCAAGCACCTTTATTGATAAAGGCCCGAGAACTTGTGCCCTGTTGATGCAACCATGCAGAAAACCATGCCAAATGACCAGCAGCCACAGAGCCTGTCCATCAGGAGTGTAAGGTCTGTTTTGGAGCCAGCATAGAAAAGTCTGGAACAGAAGGCCAGTGGGAGTCATGGATAGTAGGGTCCAACAGGTGTGGGTCCCCCAGCAGCCTTGGCACCTCCAGCCCAAAGCTCCTGGGCAATGAGGAAGGCAGGGCTGGGATGGGTGACTGCACCCTAAACGTGCATTGGGTTGTGCTTGTGTAGGGCTGGGTTGGCTCTGCCATCATCGAAATCTCCCCATCTCCAGCCTGCTGGGAGAACATCCCAGCAGGTGTGTTACCTTCCCCCCTTCTCCCTGTCCACAAATCTGTCAAATCTGAAAGGGAAATATTCCGTAGGTCTTGGCATGGGGAGCTGAACGGCTGCCTGAAGCAGGAGGAGGCTGCTCCTGGGGATGGATGCCCAGCATTTGGTTCAAATCTAACACCAGTGACTGACAGGGCTAATTCAGCCTGTCCTCTTCCCTCTTATAACTTAATCACTTACACATTGCCTCGGCAGGTCTTTCCCTGCTGTCTGGAGATGTCTTCATCCTGGGATGCCCTGCCTTGGGCTCGTGGCTGCTCCCACAGTGCTTCCTGCACGGATTCTGAGTGCCCTGCACCCCGTGTGACCCCAGCTTTGGGGGAGCTCGTCTGAGTGCCCAAACTGGGGCTCTGTGAGCTGGCCCTCCATACTGGGATACAGGAGTCAGGCTGGGCTCACTGGTGTGACAATATCCCACTCTGCCTTTTGGCCGGGGGGCTGAGTGTGGCTCCAGCTGAGACTAAGCCAAAAGTGCATGTCGAGAGTTCTCTGTGTTAGAGCTGCCATGTTCCTGCCCCAAACCTCAGTGAAAACACTCGGGAAGTGCAGGAACTGCAGCAGTGGTGGATCCTAGGAAGGACCTGGGGCTGATGATTTGGGACTCTTTAGACATCTGCCCTGGGCTTTGCTGTGCAGAGGGGCTGGCTGGGGCTCCAGGCTGCCTCCAGACCGGGTGTTGCACGGGACAACGGGGGGTGCAGGCAGGCCCCTCGCCCCAGCCCGTACCCACGGGGGCTGAGGCTCCCCTCCTGCCACCAAGACCCACGGGGCAAGGGTGCAGAGGTGAGGGGAGCACCACGGCCAGCACCCCCGCGCTGCCTTCGGGGCGCCCACCCCCCGCAAAACCCCGGGGCACGTCCGGAACGCCACGGCCACCAGGGTCCGCAGGTGGGGGGCGGTCCGGCTGTGACTACAAGCCCCATCAGGCCGCTGAGGAGGAGGAGGAGGAGGGGGAAGGCGGAGGAGGAGTCGCGGCTGCCGGCGGGGCGGTGCGGGAGCGGCTCAGTTCGGCGGCGGCGGGCGCTCGGCGGGACGCGGCGGGCGCGCAGCGGCAGCGGCGGCGTC